GACCTGGCAGTTTATTTTCTCATTTTCCCTTTCTCTTCCTCTCTTACGGTAATTTTTTGACTGGACCGATATGCAGTGTATTCATGATGGGGCAACTCATGTGGTATGCTGTAAAGATACACAAGGATTGAATGTGAAAAAAAAGGAATAGTGAAAAAATAAAAATAAAATAAAATGAAACAATTACTTTCCAAAGGCTCCCAGAGGTCAGCACGAGGTCAGTTCCTACAGTATGACATTGCACCTTCTCTTGAGAAGCTCAGAGTTTAAACAGGGGAAAGAAAAACAGAAATAAGCATGTCCATTTAAGTCCCTTAATTCTTCAGGTCAGGAAATGCACTGTAGTAATGGCTGGGGAAATCATTATGAGAGACATTGCATGCTAGGTACCACCCCTAAAGAGAGGTGACAACCTTCTGGGATGAAGGAGTCAAGTGGGATAAAAGATGTAAATGACTTGCAAAGATGTCTCCCAGGGGTCAAAACTGGCACATGTGTATATTCCGTTATTTCTCTATATCTCCAGCGAACATGGGGAGTATAGACAAAAGAATACTTCAATAATGAGGCTCATGGGCATTCAGTCCTTGAAAGCTGCAGAAACTCTAAATATTCCTGTTCCACCTTAAGTCTACTGTACTAATCTCAAATGATGAGGAAACCCAACTGTGTCTTCCTGAAGCCTCACGAATGGTCCCCCCTTCCTACTATTCCTGGGGCCAAAGCTTACAACTCCGTTTTTCAGCAAAGGAAGAAACCATATCAGTGAACTAAGTTCCCTGAGAATGTCTAGGTGAGCTGCAGTGTCTTTATAGATGTTGAGATTGTGGTATAGCACAAGGGACACCTTTATTGGTAGCAATGCCAGGAGGAGCAACAGGGATAAAATATAAATAAACATTTAATAATACAAAACCTTACCATGTTATTATCCTTGATGGTGGAGAGAGATTCTGGCTATACTAAAATATTTTTCCCTTTCCATCTGCCTCCTCTGTGTTGACTCTCAGTCCTATGTTCTCCTTTAATCGACAAAATTTTCCCTTATTTCACAGTTTCTCCTTTCTTCTTCATTGATGCTAATAACTGTCTAATCTCATTCCGCTGTTTGTTCTTTCAGTCATTCTACAAATATTTGTGCTGTAATGACCACATGGTAGGCACTTAATTAGGTTCTGGGGTCGAAGAAAAGAGTATGAATAGTTATGGTGGCTGAAGGCAGTGTGGAACAGAGAGTGGGGAGGAGAGGAAAAGAGTATAGAGAAGGAAAATAGGAGAAAAAATAGAGAGGCATGACATTTGTGGGACATAGAAATGGTTTATTACCTGTTGATAAGAACACTTATAGTTTTCTCAACTGGACTGATCTGAGGAGTATTTTATGTTAGGTAAATTCTCTCTATAAGCCAAATGATCCATAGTGCTTGAATGCTTTAAAAATAATGAGAATTAAATAATAATATTCTGGGGCCAACAGGTGGTATAGTGGATATAGTAGTTGAGGTGCTGGACTCCCACATGATGGACCACTGTTCGAGTCATGGACCTGGAAGCTTGCTTTCTCACGTTCTCTTTCTCTCTTTGTGTCTCTCTCTGGTAAAATTGAAAATAATAATGATAATAACAAATAAAATAAAACAAATAAGTCTTTAAAAAATAATATTCTGAAAAAAATGAAATACTATTTGATGATGATAATGTGGATACAATGTTTTTATCTTGAATGATATGTATGGTAATTGTGCTGGAAAAAGAAATATAATACACTATAAAGATATATGTGATTAAATGTAGTTTTAAAAAATAATAAAAAAGAAAAATAGATAAATTTCTAATAATTAGAAAAAAGAAAAGAGGATGACATCACACCTTATCTTGAGAAGCTCACAGTTTAATCAGGGGAAAGAGACACAGAAATAAATAAAAGCAATATCTTAGGTAGCATTGTAATCCTGTTGAAGAGGATGGATCCAGAAGAAGTTGAGTTTTCCTAGACAATTTCTAGAAGGCTTCACAGATAAGCTCATAATCATATGGAATCCTGAAGCAGCAAAATTCTTTCTGTGGACAAGGGATCAGAGGGAAACAAATGTAGAGGTTAATAAAACTATACTTTTTAAGAAGAATTATTTATTTATTTTTATTTGTCATCATTATTATTTAAAATTTGCTATTGGGGTCATGTGTACTCACCAGAGAGAGACAAAGGGGAAAGAGAAAGAGAGAGAGAGAGAGAGAGAGAGAGAGAGAGAGAGAGAGAGAGAGAGAGAAAGAGAGAGAGAAAGTCACTAGGTCTGCAGAAGGCTTGTGTCTCATGTGTATCTCATGGTCAGACTGTAATATCACTTTGTTTTGTTGCTCAAATTGTTCCCACTTTGGACATTAAGAGTCCTGTCAGATAACTTCTCTGTCTCTTTGGAATATCCCCATTATAATGGATTTCTTAGAACTTCCTTTCTCCCTGGTATTACAAGATAGTCCAGGCTCATTTTATATAATCCCTTGGTTTAGAATTAGCTATTTCACCAAAGAAGCCTGGTTCCTTCTCTTGGAAAATGGTATTAGAAACCAAGCTCCATGGTCTTGGTGGGCTCATTGCTACCAGATTCTTTGGCCCATTTCAGTTGACCTGCTAGGAAACATGTGTGCTTACTAAGCCGTGCATTTATCTGTGTGTATAAACTCTATATATGGATCTCAAAGTCTAATCTATAAGCACATGGATTATGGTAGCCTCCTCTCCTTCTTCACCTGTAAACTCGACTGCAATGGAGAGATTCCTAGCTCTGCATGAGTCATCCATTCATTTCTTTGTCCCTTTGCAGCATACATGTGTAAAAGGAGAATTGTTAACTCATATCACAGTGGAAGATGACTTTATTAACTAAGGTACAAGGTACAGCTTTTTTTCTTTTTTTTTTTCTTATTTTTTTTTTACAGATCCCACTCATTTGCAACTTTTGTTCAGCAGTTTCATCTCATCTCTGCAATGTGTTTCATACATTTGTAATACAATTAGAATGATTTTTCAGTGTGTGCATTCCCTACAGTGATTCCCTTCCCCTCTTCAATGATGTCTTTGTACTGTGAGATTTAATGGGTTTGATTATATAGATTATATAATATGTATGTATGCATATGTATATATATGTCTATCTATCTATATATCTATCTATATCTATATCATCTATCTATATAATGCCATTTATTCTCAATTCCATTATTACATAAAATAGTTTCAGTGACCTAAAAAATAAGACATAGAATCAGGGGCCAGCAGATGACATAGTGGTTACATTGCTGGACTCCTGCAAGGCCGACTGGAGTTCAAGTCTCAGATCCAGTGACTTGAAAATCACACCAGGCGTGTGTGCTTGTGCACCCAAGATCCCAGGAGGACAATGGAGGAGAATGAATTGCTGTATGGCCATTCATTTTTGAACATTGAACCACCCCTGTCAACCTGGAATAAATCCCTCTTGGTTTTGGTGTAAAATTCTTTATACATATTATTGGTTTACATTTTCCAGTATTTTCTTGAGGATTTTTGACCAGTTCATGAAAGATACTGATCTACAGTTTCCCTTTTTTGTAATTATTTCATTTGGTGTTGAAGTTAGGATAATGATAGGTTCATGTATGTACTAGGGCTATTCTACCTGCTTCTATTTTCTAGAAATGATTGTGGAGAATTGGTCTCAATTCCTCCTCAAAGTTTAGGTAGAATTTACATGCACTTTAGTGAAGAAAAAAATTCTGGAAGTGTTTTCTGTAGGGTGCATGTGCTTTCTGGAGAGAGAGAGAGAGAGAGAGAGAGAGAGAGAGAGAAATTATTTCCCAGGGTTGATAGCCATGGTGTAACACCATCTCCTCCATTCTCCTGGGATTTGGGGCATGCATACACACATGCTTGGTGTGAATTTCAAGCTGCCAGGTCTGGGACTTGAACCATGGTTAGCCATGTGGGAATCTGGTGCCTTAACTACCATTCCACTTGCTGGCCCCCAATTTTTAAAAAAACATTATTTCATTACTATTATTATTATTATTTACACATTCAATTGCTATACATCATTTAGATTGTAATGAGACTTTACCCAGCATGATATACACCTCAGTCCAGTTGAGAATACTATATGCATCCTCATCAACAGATAATAAACCATATCTGTGTCCCACAAATATCTTACCTCTCCAGTTTTTTCCCCCCAAATTTCCTTTTCTGCACTTTTCCCCTCTTACACTCTCCTTACACTTTGTCTCTAGTGTCTATAACAATTTTTGATGCTTTTATGTCCTTTAGTCTTTCAGTCCCTACCAAAGAGTGCAGTTGATATATGTTAAATGGAGACATACAATGTCTCTCTTTCATAGCCTGACTTGCTTCACTCAGCAACAAATCTTCCATACTCACCCACTTTCTATCAAATTCCAGTGGTCCCAACTTTTTAAAAAGATTATTTCATATTTGAAATAATTTCCCAAACACACAGGATATTCTTTTGGGAAAATCCCCTAGATATCTTTTGTTTTAATTTTGTCATGATTATTGTGTGTATTTTTAATTTTCTGTTGATATATATTTCTAAGGAATATGATCATATGAAGGTATTCATCCTTTAGGTCCTAAATATTGATTATGTTAGTCTTTTTATTGTTGCTTTCATTCATTATATCTTTGAATGATTTTTTTACTTAATTTTATTATTTATTATTATTATTGTTTGATTTGCTATAAAGTATGTGTGCTCACCAGAGAGAGACAGAGAGAGGGAGAGAGGGAAAGTGAGAAAGCAAGCTGGCAGGTCCAGGACTCAAACCATGCCTGACCACATGGGAGTCCAGTGCCTTAACCATTGCACCACCTGCTGGGTCCCATTTTTGTATATATTCATCCACCATCACTTGAACGGCATGGCTGTGCCACTTAGCTGTTTGCTCACTGTTAGTGACTAAATTTGAAATGCTCTTGTCTCTGTCCCAGCAGTTTCATGACCTACATGGATCCAGGAAACCAAACCACTATTTCAGAATTTCTCCTCCTGGGACTCTCAGAAGAGGCAGTACTACAGCCTTTCCTCTATTGGCTGTTCCTGTCCATGTACCTGGTCACCTTTATTGGAAACCTGCTCATCATCCTGGCCATTATCAAAGATTCCCTCTTGCATACCCCCATGTACTTCTTCCTCTCCAACCTGTCCTTGGTAGACATTTGTTTCACCTCTACCACCGTCCCAAAGATGCTGGTGAACATCCAGACACAGAGCAAGGTCATCACCTATGCAGGCTGCATCACCCAGATGTACTTTTTTATGCTTTTGGGACTATTAGACAACTTCCTCTTGACAGTGATGGCCTATGACCGGTTTGTGGCCATCTGTCACCCGCTGCACTACACAGTCATCATGAACCCCAAGTTCTGTGGAACTCTGCTTCTGGTATCCTGGGTACTGAGTGCTCTGAATTCTCTGTTACATGGGTTACTAATTTTGCGACTCTCTTTTTGTGCAAAGTCGGAAATCCCTCACTTTTTCTGTGAACTTAATCAGGTGATCCAACTGGCTTGTTCGGACACGTTCCTCAATGACTTAGCGATATACTTGACAACGGGACTTCTGGATGTTATTCCACTCGCTGGTATCCTTTTCTCTTACTCTAAGATAGTATCCTCTATTTTGAGAATTTCATCAGCTGGGGGCAGGTCTAAAGCATTTTCCACGTGTGGGTCTCACCTCGCGGTGGTCTCCTTGTTCTATGGCACATGCCTTGGCGTGTATCTTTGCTCAGCTGTTACCCAGAACTCCAGGGCAAGCGCGATAGCTTCGGTGATGTACACTGTGGTCACCCCCATGCTAAACCCCTTCATCTACAGTCTGCGGAACAAGGACATGAAGCAGGCTCTAAGAAAACTCTTTGGGAAAAGCAGGTCTCTACACGATCAAGTTCTTTGTCTCAGGATTGAAAACGTGCTCACAAATCCCAGGACTCCAAGCTCTGGACTCTCCAAATCCTAATAATTTCATCAGTTCATAAATAACTTGCAATGTATCTTTTTGTTTTGTCTGAAGGTAATTTAATGAAGCTTTTATTAGCTGAGTGGTACATGGGGTTAAGGAAAGGAAAAGGGATGATGAACAAAATGATGGGCAATGGGCACTCAAAGGATAACACCAGAATGCTTTTATTCACCCTTTTGGTCTGAAGAGGAAACTGAAGGGGAAAAAAAGGGTCACTGAATAGTCCTCACAACTACAGCTGTAGCAAATAGGCTAACTGGCAGGGGTTATAAAGGACATAGCCATTCAGAAGCCTGATGTCCTGCTAAGTGAAGCCAACTATGAAAGAGAGGCATTGTATGTCCCCACTTCATACATATTGAATATCTGCACTCTATAGCAGAAATGGAAATACGGGTCAGTATAAAAGTATGGAGGGCACCTGTGGATACCAGAGACACTGTGGGAGGAGGGTGGGAGATGTCATGTGGGAGTCCAACACCCCAACCACCATGCCATCTACTGGTCCCAAGAATGGATACAGAAAAAAAATAAAAAAAGAAAATCCATATCTGGAACAAAATAGTCATTGTATTAAGTTTATAATAATCATAGTCATCCTTTAACATTAATAGTTCTCTAAACAGTCCGAAGCACAAGTAGAGAGAGAAATGACCACACTTGGTCCTTGAAACCTTGCTGTTATCACTGATAACATAAGGCTTGTGTGCTTGCTGGAAAGACAGAGAGACAGTAAGAGGGGAAATGAGAAATCACCTCTCAGGAGGGCTGGCCACACCACAATCCCTTCTCCTCCATCCTCCTCCAGGGATTCTGGACACACAAGTACATGCTCCTGGTGACAGTGAATTTCAAGCCGTTGGGACCAGGACTTGAACTATGGTCAGCCATGTGTGAGTCCAGCCACCATGCCACCTGCTGACCCCTTTATGATAGCTTTTTAAAAAATTTCTGTGAAAAATATTGCTGATTCTAAAAACAAAGTGTATTCATTTTTTTCTTTCACCACAGAGGAAAACAGAGAGAGAGAGAGTCCCTCTCAAAGAGTCTCCATGCCGTGATCCACACAAAGGTCAGCCAGTCAGAATCACATTTGCACACTTGCACCCAACAAGCTTAGGGAGGTCCTAAGACTCAAACCCAGTACCTTTCACATGTGGGTCTATCTGCATTACTGCTGTGTTATACCAGGCCCCTCTTGCTTGCGTGTTTTCTTTTTTTAATAATTATTAATTTAATTTAGTTAATTTATTTTTAAAATTTGACGAGAGAGAGAGAAAGTAAGAAAGGAAGCCACCAGGTCCAGGATTCAAACTGCAGTCAGTCATGTGGAAGTCTGGCATCTTACCCACCATACCACCTGCCAGTCCAATCCCTCTTTTTTTTCCTTATTCTTTTTTGGTAGATATTTGTTAATTTTTATTATTTTTAAGGAATTAATTTTCTTGTTGCTTCCTACCTTTTTGCACTTTGTCATTTCCTTCCTCAACATACTTTGAGTTATGTCACTTTATTTCCTACCTTTAAACATGGAAACTTAGATCATTGATTTAAACATTTTTTTATTCCCATTTCTACTATGGGATTTTATTTTATTTTATTTTTTATAAGGCAAAAATTGTGTAATGAGTTTGTTTTCTCAACAGAGAAGTTTTCATTGTTTTGTTTATTAGATGTTACTTCCCTTTGCTCTCCTGTCCTCTCTATGATAGTTTATTTATTTATTATTTTAAGATTGCACTCACCAGAGAGACAGAGAGAGACAGAAAGAGAGACATAACCCCCCAAGGGGGATGGCCATGCCCCCATCCCTTCTCCTCCATTGTCTTCTCAGGATTTTGGCCCACAAGTACATGCACCTGGTATGAATTTCAAGCTTCCAGATCTGGGGCTCAAACCATAGTTGGTCATGGGAAGAGTCCAGTGATGGAACCATTACACCATCTGCTGCTTCCTATGATAGGTTTTTAAAGCTCTAAATATCCTCCTGAGCACTTTTTAACTGTATCTCATGAAATGTAATAAATTATTTTCACCACTATTTTATCCAAAATAACAAAAGAGAATAGCATCATTGTTTTATTAAAATAGCCTAAGTTATTGGTTGTCAAGGTGGCGCTACTGAATAACAACTTTCAATGAGGAAAACTAAAACTGTTAGTGAGGAACTAATATCTATCAGAATACTTATAAAATACTCTATGAGAGGCCAACAGGTGACCTGGTGGTTAAGGCACTGAACTACCATATGACTGATTGCAGTTCGAGTCTTGGACCTGGCAGCTTGAAAATCGTACTGGGTGTGTGTGTTTGCATGCCCAAAATCCCAGGAGGAGACTGGAGGAGAAGGGATTGTGGCATGGTCATCCCCTCTGCTGAGCGATTTTTCACTTTTTCTCTGTCTCCAGCGAGCGCATGCACCCTATGGCAAAAACCTAAACAACAAAAACAAAAACTCTAGGATTTGACAGTTGAAATGTTGATGAAAATGATGACCAGGTAGGGATACAAGAAAGAAAGGCTGACTCAAGACTAAGAAAGGAGACCTGAGGATTTGAATGAACAACATACACATGATCAAAAACTCAACTTCCAAGTGTTGGAAAGCACACATTGAACCATACCTCATAATTATTAATATGTACAATGATTATTTGTCAATTTTATGTAATAATAACAAAAAAGGAAAAACTAAAATGAGTGGAATTGTTGACTTAAGGGCCACAGAGATAAAGGAAAATAACATTAAGTATTTTTTATGTTTTTGTCATAGAGTGCATGCTCTTGCCAGAGACAGTGAGAGGGAAAGTAAGAAATCATTTCCCAGTAGGAATGACCACGCTACAACCTCTCCTCCTCCATTCTCCTCTCAGGATTTTAATCATGCACACACACATGCCCAGTGTGATTTCTTTCGTTCTCTTTCTTTCTTTCTCTCTTTTTTAAAAAGAGAGATTCTTGCTATAAAGCATATGCACTCACCAGAGAGACACAGAGAGACAGAGAGACAGACAGTGAGAAATGACCCCCCACACACACAGGGGCTGGCGACACTGCAATCCTTTCTCCTCTTGAAATTTTGAGCATGCATGCACACATGTCTAGTGTGAGGTTTAAGTCACCAGGACTGGGAATTGAACTATGGTTGAGAACAGGACTCCTGCATCACTGGGAGTCCAGCGATGTAAACATTACACCAACTGTTGGTCTGCCCAGTGTGATATTTAAGCCCCTGGGTCTGGGACTCAACCCATAGTTTGCCATGTACAAGTCCTGTGCCCTCATCACCACGTCACCTGCTAGCACCAGGAAAAAAAATGTCTTAAGATTTCATGTGGTCAGGATTCTAGATGGCGCTTTTGCTTTATAAAATTTTATTTATTTCATCAATGAGGGAGAGAAAGAAATGTAGAGAGCCACCCCCCACAAAGGTCTTCTCACCCAAATCTGCTCACCACATCGGCCCACCTGGATCATGGCACGTGCACACCCAGTGTGTACAAACAGGCCTGGGATTGACCCGGAGGCCTTTCCACGTGGGGGCTCTAACACTGTCACTGCACTTGAGCTGTCTGGATGCCACTCTTGTTCCTAGCTACTCTGAGGCACTTGTCAAGCTTCAAGGCCAATACTCCTAATATTGCCAAAAAGACGTCTCAGGGCCCTCTTGATGTCCTCGTTCCTCAGGCTGTAGATAAACGGGTTCAGCATGGGGGTGACCACGGTGTACATCACTGAAGCAACGGCACTGGCCTTGGAATTGTGGGTAGTGACTGAACTGAGGTACACCCCAAGACCTGTGCCGTAAAACAAGAGCACAACAGAGAGGTGAGACCCACAGGTGGAGAACGCCTTATACTTCCCTCTGGTGGATGTAATCCTCAGGATGGAGGAGACGATCCTGGAGTAAGAGTAAAGGATCCCAGAAAAGGAAATAACACCCATCAGCCCAGCGGTGAGATACATCTCGATGACACTGGAAAGGCTGTCCGAGCAGGCTAGGGGGACGACCTGGTTGATTTCACAGAAGAAGTGGGGAATCTCCATGTCGGTGCAGAAAGACAACCTTAAGGCCAGCAAAATCTGGAGCAAGGACTTCAGGATGCTAAAAATCCAGAATGCCAGCAGCGCCACGCCACAGAGCTGGGGGTTCATGATGACCGTGTAGTGCAAGGGGTGACAGATGGCCACAAACCGGTCATAGGCCATCACAGACAGGAGGAAGATGTCCAACTCTGCAAAAACGAGGAAAAAATACATTTGGGTGAGGCAGCCTTCGTAGGTGATGGTTTTGTTCTGGATGTGGATGTTTAGCAGCATCTTTGGGACGGTGGTGGAGGTGAAACAGATGTCACAGAAAGACAGGTTGGAGAGGGAGAAGTACATGGGTGTGTGCAGGTGGGAGTCAGTAATGGTGGCCAGGATGATGAGTAGGTTTCCACACACAGTGATTAGGTACATGGACAGGAACAGCCCGAAGAGGATGGGCTGAAGGTCTGCCTCTTGTGAGAGTCCGAGGAGGATGAATTTTGAAAAACGTGTGTGATTTCCAGGTTCCATGGAGCTGGGGTGACTGTCGGGGAAGAGGCAGTAACAGCAGTACGTTACAAAGACGTTATTGAGACTACCTGCCATGGTGTGCACAGGGCACCTGCGTGGGAAGCTCAGGGCACATGAGAAGCCCAGGTTTGGTTCCCATGCCCCCTCTAAAGGGTTGGATGTGGTGGTGTGTCCCTGTCATTCCAGATAGACTGAGGCAAGAGGATCCCAAGGTCAGGGTCAGTGGAAGCATACAGTGAACTTCCTTGCCTGAAAAAACTGAGCACATTCTCCTCTGTGGTCTCAGCTACTTGGGAGGCTGAGGCAGCAAGATTAAGATATGGTGAGATCCTGTATTAAAAAAAGAAAGCAAAAGAGCCCACAGGTGGCATGGTGGTCAAGGCCCAGAATTCCCACATGGCCAGCCAACTGCGGTTCAAGTGCGGATGTGGCAGCTTTAAAATTCACACAGTGCACATGTGTGTGTATGCCCAATACCCTAAGAGGAGAATGGAGGAGAGTAGATTGTGGAGTAGCGCTCCTGCGTGGGTTGGTGATTTCTCATGTTCCCTCTTTCTGTGTCTCTCTCTGTTGAGCACACACACCCTATGTCAGAAAAATAAAAACAAATGAAAAAAAGAAAGCATACAATGACCCTTTACCACTACACACACAGACATATAAGGCATTATCATTAGCAGTACTAATTACTGATGATCTTTTCATATAATATAAATAGATAAATTATATTTGTATGTAAAATAAAAAAATTGATTTTTTGTCAATTGATCCCATTTAAGTTTAGCTGAAAAAAAAATTAGAGGTTTAAAACTGTATCCATTCTTGGGACCAGTAGATGGCATGATGGTTGGGGTGCTGGACTCCCACATGGCAGACTGCAGTTCAAATTCTGGACCTGATGGCTTGCTTTCTCATGTTCCCTCTGTCTCTGGTGAATTCCAAAAATATAATAATAAAGGGACCAGCAGGTGGCATAGCGTTTTAAGGCCCTGGATGCCCACATGGTTGACTGCAGTCCAAATCCTGTACCCAGTGGCTAGAAATGCCCCTATGGCTATGGCATGTGTGTGTGTATGCACAAGAGTCCCAAGAGGAGAATGGAGAAGAAGGGAGTGCAACATGGCCATTCCCCTTGTGTGTGTGTGTGGGGGGAGGGGATAATTTCTCGCTTTCCGTCTCTCTGGCAAGACCATGCAAAATTTCTCGAAAGTCTTTAACAAAAATCTCTTAAAATAATAATGACAATAAAACTAAAAAATAATTCCTTAAAATAATAATAATAATAATAATGTAATAATGAATAAAGTTAAATAAACAATTCTTTAAAAGAAATGCATCCATTCTGTGTCTGCTGGGCACGGCCCTGACTCAAGTAAGCGAACTGATCCTTTGCCATAACTTACCCCTCATCACTGGTTTCCTGCTGCAATACCTATGAGAGACAACCATCTCCATCTTTTCCATCCTTGGATGGCCCTCCCCCTGGGGGTGATTTCTCCCTTTCTGTCTCTCTCTGTTTCACTTGTGAGCACACATGCCCTATAGCAAAAATCTCTAAAATAATAAATAAATAGAATAAAATAGTTTTTTTTTAAAACAAGAATTTGCCATTTTTTTGTTGCAAGGTCCTGGTGTAAAGCTTCTACAATTCTTAGAATTTCCCATCTGAAGAGTCTCCTTGTTATGCTAATGAGGTGACTTGGTATGGCCCCCGGATAGCTTCAGGGTAGGGACTGGTGTCTCTGGAGACCACATGATTGGAAATATGGGACTTGGAGTTTTCGAGGGACGTAAGCAGGCTCAAAACGGTGGTCAGTCACTTGACCAATGATGTAATTGACCATGCCTATGAAAGGCAACCCCACTTAGGGGCTCACAGGTGGTATGAGGTGAAGGCGGCTGGATCCCCCATAGCCAACTCCATGGTTCAAGTCCCAGACCTGGTGGCTTAAATCCCACTAAACTCATGTGTGTGTGTGCCCAACATTTTGAGAGGAGAATGGAGGAGAAGGACCAGGCCATCCACTCTGGGGTGGGGGTTGCTTTCTCACTTTCAATCTCTCTCTGTCTCTGTTTCTGTCTCTCTCTGATGAAACACACAGCCTTTGGCAAATAAAAAACAACAAAAAAATGTACTATTGCAGACTTTTTAAAGTGTGTGGTTAGGTGGCATAGTCACTTGTTATGTGAACATCACCACTGTATAGTTCCAGAACATTTTCTGTTACTCCAAAGGAAAGCCTATCCCCGTAAGCAATCATTCCCTTTTCATCTCTCCACCAGCCCCAGGAACCACTAACTCACTTTCTTTCTCTCTAGATTTACCTGTTCTGCATATTTTACCAAAGTGGCCTCATACAAGGTGCATCGTATTGTGTCTGGTTTTCTTCACTCCATATTCCTGCACCCCAATTCCTTCTGCCTGGAGAACTCTAACTTTGAAAATGCCTAGTCTTCCTTTTATATTCATTCCTATTTTTTTCTCCATTCAGATATCCTTTTTCCTTCCTTCTTTCTTTTTTTTTTTTTTACATATTTTTTCTTTTCTTTTTTAAAATTTAATTTTAATTTCTTTGCTACATTCAATCACCTATGTCATTTAGTATACTTTAACTATTATCAATATAGTTTGTATTCTTCCAAAGTTTTTTTACTTTTTTTTTTTTTTGGAGAGGTTTTTACTATAGGGCGCATGCGCTCACCAGACAGACAAAGAGACAGAGAGACAGAAAACGAGAAATCACCCCCCAGGGGGGATGGTCATGCCGCAATCCCTTCTTCTCCATTCTCCTCTCGGGATCTTGGGCA